GTTTTTCGTCTTCTTTCTTTGGTCCCTTATCAACCAGGTGGTGTGCTTGTATTTTTTTGAGCATCTCTCTCTCTCTCTCTCTCGTGCCAATCTTATTGGGATTAGGAAGAGAACTCTGATGTTCTTTGCACTCTTCCTTTTTATTAATTGTATCTTTGTTCTTCATTATTATAATTAATAAAATAAATCAAATAATGAAATTAAATTATATAATAACATTAGTCACTATAGTAAGATAAGACTGTGTCGGCAGTACGTGACCTTACGAATTACAACTGTGTCAAAGCTGCCAAAAGTCACATATATATATATATGCGTGTGTGTAGAATCTATCATATGTATAAAAAATAAAAAAATAAAAAAATAAAAAAATTGGATACATCTGGTAAAATATTTTAATAATTTATAAAAGCTCTTTTAATTTAAATTTCTTTGTTAATTATTTTAAATTTATTGATTAATTAAATTTGAAATAATTATGAATCTACCCTATGGGTATAAAATGTTTGTGCAATTTTTATTACACTTTCATGTGAATATACAAATATTTTAAACTTCTCAATATGTGCCTAATAATGACACGTTATCAAAATTCAATAATTATATATTATTTATCATATGCATTTTTATGAAGAATATACAATCATTTAAATTTATTAACAAGTGACCTAATTAACAAATATTTGTCACTTTAAAATAAAAATAAAAAAAACTCCAGCAAATCAAACAATATGATATTGTCGCAAGTGACTTTCTAAAATTAGGGTCAAAAGTGTAGAAATAGGCATAGCTTACCCTCTGGCTGCTATTCAAAGGACAAAGTAATAAATTTATCTCATCTGAAATTTAAACTCCTTTAATTCATATGATAAAAAAGAAAAACAGGAAAAGATATATTTTCATCTGAATTATTAAGAGAGAGAGAGAGAGTCAGAATAACAGTTGAGCCATGCGCAGGAAACATGTTATGAGTGTCAGTGACAAAATTTCAAGATTTCACATCACAAATAGCGCGGTAAACGTAGATCCTACTATTAATGTGATAATTTAACTTTCGTTTTTTATTTTTTATTTTTTTTGGCACTGTTAATTTATTAAAACTGACATTAGTACTCCCAAATTAAAGCACTCAATCATGCCCGATTAATATGATGATACCATGTGAAGTGGATTAATATGGGCTCCTGTTTTTTTTTATCTTTTCCTTTCTTTCTCTTCTGCTCTTTGTTTTTCGTCTTCCTTCTTTTGGTTGGTCCCTTATCAACCAGGTGGTTGCATTTTTTTGAGCATCTCTCTCTCTCTCTCTGGTGTCAATCTTATTGGGATTAGGTAGAGAGCTCTGATGTTCTTTGCACTCCTCCTCTTTATTAATTGTATCTTTGTTCTTCATTGTTATAATCAATAAAGTCTTCTTTACCGATAAAAAAAAAAGGTGAAGTGGATTGGGCGCATGATATATAGCGGTTGAAGTAGTGGGACTTGTCTTGCATATGGTAGACCACCATCGTCATTAGCCATGTGGAGTTGTTAGTCATAGAAAGAATGACTAGTATAAGAGGGTCAGCCTCAATTGATCGAGTTATTCTAAAAGGACTTAGGCCGACCTAGAGAGTCTCCCAAATTGGTATGAACAATCGGTGATCCATTTAGACCTTGAGATTGGCGCAAGGGTTAAGCTATTCTCCCAGTACTACTAATCACATGCATACTTCAACAGTCTCATTTTCTAGTCATGCTTTAGATGAGAGAAGGGAATTATGAGTATTACCTACACTCACTCACGTACCCTAGATCACCATGGTGTTGGTATGACGAATCAATTTAATGAAAACTACACGGTGAGAGTAATAGAGATATTATTAGATGAGTAATGTATAGTTATGCAATATATTAATGAACATGCAACCAAACACATAGCAACCATGAAGTAGATGCAATGTTGCGAAACGAGAAATCCAAGTCTTATTTTTTCTTATCCTTATCCAACAAATTGTACTAATGTCTAATACCATGGAATGGAATAATTATAGAAATTGCATAAGCCTAGAATGAACTCAATGTAGATAAGTTACGATGCAATATGGTTATATCTATTATGATAAAGTGGTGGTCACTGTGAGATTTGTGAGTACTTATTGTTGAATTTTTTTTTATATAGTTAATCGTCTAATTTGATATAATTCTCTTGATATTTATAATTTTTTTTATTTTTTTTTATTTTTATCGATTAACAAACACATTATATTGTAACGTAACCCGACCACATAAAGTCTAACTTTTGAGGGTGCACACACCATGGGGTTGGATGACATTTGGCAGCCAATGAAAACGATTTTGAATTGTACAGGATTAAGAAATTACACTGTTTGGGATATGTCCTAGTTCTGTTTGATTGTTACATATATATATATATATATGTTTCTAATTTAAAAAAATAAAACATTTAATTTGGTAAAAAAAAAAAAACTTCAAAACCAAAGAACACTCATTACTTTAATATGATTTTCTTTCTCAGGGTGAAAATAATTTTTTTGATATTCATTTTGTCAAACTGATTTGTAATTGGGCTCGGTTTCTCTCTAGCTGTCAGGCCTTGTGAGCCCACCATGGGCCCTCCGACGACCATCTAAACTATTTATTTTGTTAAACTACTGGATCATTCAAAAAATAATTAAAATGATCCAACAATCATAACCCATAATTTTATGAGATTTATTTGCAGAAATTGGACAATTATTTTAAAATTATCTCTGTCATCCAAATAATTATCATAAAAACATGTGATTATGACTATAAGATTAATTTAATTTTGGATAAATTATGCAAATAATCATGTACTTTACATGATGTGTCAATTTAATCTCTGTAGTTTCAATTTATTCGATTTTACCCCTTAATTTAACGGAAGGTCAATTTAGTCTCTTAATTTTGCCCCTTAATTTATCTTTGTCAATTTGGTTCATCTACTTTACACGATGTGTCAATTTGATCCTGTAGTTTCAATTTTCTCGATTTTGACAGGGACTAAATTGATACATTGTGAAAACTACAGGGATCAAACAATTATCATAAAAACATGTGATTATGACTATAAGATTAATTTAATTTTGGATAAATTATGCAAACAATCCCTGTACTTTACATGATGTGTCAATTTAGTCTCTGTAGTTTCAATTTATTCGATTTTGTCCCTTAATTTAATGGAAGGTCAAATAATGTGTCAATTTGGTCCCTCTACTTTACACGATGTGTCAATTTGATCCCTGTAGTTTCAATTTTCTCAATTTTGACAGGGACTAAATTGATATATTGTGAAAAATACAGGAATCAAATTGATATATTATTTAACTTTCTGTTAAATTAACTTAACAACCGTTATTTATTGGATTAAAATGACACAATCCGTTAAATTAAAATGTAAAATCAAACAAATTAAAATTACAAAAATCAAATGAATACATCGTATAAAATACAAAAAACTATTTACATAATTTTCCCTTTAATTTTTTAAAGATAATCTAAATGCAGAGTCATAGTCATCTAAAATGAATAGTTTAGATTTTCGGAGTGGGGCCTGGTGGGACTTCCAAGGCCCAAAGGCACCTTCAGACAAAATAGACTAGGAGAAGTCCCTTTTTATCTATTTATTTATTTTATTTAAAAAAAGAAAAAAGAAAAAAAAGTTATAAGAACTCAACCAAAACAGGTTCCTCTAATTTTTAAGGCCATTCTATATATAAAAAAATTGTGGGTTGTTTCTCTTTCTGCCTTAAAATTCAGAAATTGTACTCATCTTTAAGAAATGAATATTGCTTTTTTTTTTCTTTCTTTTATTTTTTTTTTTGGTAAAACAGTGAACTAATAGAATTAAGCATTCAAGGTTCTGGGGTATAAAACCCCTCTAGCATCACCATACATCTGATTTAAAACATAAGGAGCAGAAATATTGAGACTTTTGGTGCATATATTGAGACTTTTCTTTTTTCTAGCCCACTAAATTATGTTTCTTCTTTACTGATAAGAAATAAAAGTGAAAAATCTTCAAATCCCTCATTATATATTACAGTGTGATTTTATTAATTTTTTTAGTTGTGTAAATGGGAAATTTACATTAGATTTTAAGAGTTTTATAGGAAACTCTAAAATCTCACCAATGTTATCGTTGTTCAATTTCACCATTTTTTCTTGCAGTCAAACCATACAAACAGTCATGTCCTAAGTGAATTTTGAACCTTTACTCGCTTCTTTTTCATTTTATGGTTTCATATATGCAAGAATAGTCGGCATATAACAATAATAAGTCAATGCAAACTAGGCTAAAAAACAAAAGCTGAAGAAAAAAGGATTGAAAATCCAACAAACACAATCTTGAAAATTTCAACTCCAAAGAATAAAATTTGATGGGGTTGATTTGAGGGTTGATGATGATACTAGAGGTGCATTCAATTTTTTTTAAAAAAAGAAAAGAAAAGAAAAGAAAAGCTTAAGCTAGCTAGTAATGGCAGCAAGAGTGAGGTCCCAAAATGCTCCCCCACAAGTGTAACACAAGCTTTGAACTCTTAATTTACCAGGAGACCCATTGGGAAGACTTATGAAGATTAGGGTTTTCATAAAAAGAAATATAACCAACATTTTGAATAGCAATATCAGGACGACATGAATATGTATTGATCACAGTACTGTGGACCGGTATAGACAAGGAGTTTATAGCTTCATAGGTTCTAAGTTTTAAATAGCTGTATCGGGAATATAAATTGCGTTGATCACGGTGTTGCAGCATCAAAAAGAGACTCCGCCGAAATTTAAAACTATGAATAGGAAAGAGTAACGATAGAGATTATGAAAAAAATGATGAAGATAGTTATGAAAGATTTTTTATTTTTAAATTATTCATATAATAAAATATTATACATTAATCATATACTAATCAATGAATAAAAAATTTTAATGACGAATTTTATGATATATTTTTTATAATTCCTAACATTATTAGTCGGGAAAATCAGTAATTTATTTTCTTGTTCATATGATGATGAAATTATGAACATCTAAATTAATCTGCTCACTCCAAAACTAAAAATATCAAAAAGGGGTTGGAAGTTTGCAAATAATAGTCTTACAGTTGTTTCTTTTTCATAGCTTGTTTATTGTTGTGCATCCACACTTTGAAAACCTGTCTCTTCACACCCACTTCACCACAAAACTGCTGAACTTGTTCCTCATCTTGCTTCTGGATCTTCCATTCCAACCTCTCTGCAAACTGTTGCATCCTATCTTTCTGTTCTTGGCTGAATTTCGTCCGAAACCTCTTCTTGGACCCCGTAAATGGCTGCTGTACAATCCCCATTGGTGGTTGTGTTCCATCATTGCAATGAAAAACCATGTTGTTAAGGTCTTCGCTCGACGACTCCGCTGCAACTCCGCCGCCGAACGCCATCATCACCGGCTGAAATGGACCCGTCGGCGGAGCATATCGGTGGTGGTGGTGGTGATGATGCGGCGGCGGCGGAGGAGGAAGCGGTTGTGGAAGATGGGTTGTGGTGGTGGTTCTATGGGTAGTGTTTCTGTTGGGATTGTAGGGGTAATAGGAATTGGTCCCGGGTTGTTGAAACTCACCTTCTATCTCTTTTCGGTGAAAATTCCGGTGGCAATCACATGCTGCGCATTTCAATTCTTCAGGTGTGCCTTCTTCTCCGCTCGGCATAAATTCTCCGCACCCATCAACGACATGACATCCCATGTTCGCGGCATGGTTCTTTAGACACTCTCTGTATCGAAATGACGCACTACTACCACTGTTAGCCTCCAAACTCGGCGGCGGCGGCGGTTGTGGTGGTGGTGGTGTTTTTGAGTTTGATGCTCTGGCAATCGTTGGAGATGGAGATGGAGATGGAGATGGAGTTGGATCTGGATCTGGATCTGGGTTTGGATCTCTTCCCTCAACATGGGTTTGTTGGTGTAGATTCAATTGTTGATGAAGATGGTGATCTAGGGTTTGCTGTGTAGGGTTGAGAACTGTGCTTTGATGATGATCGTTTCTTCTTCTACCTGTGACTGCTGCTGTTGTTGTTGTACTGTAACCTATTGAAATGCCCATATCTTTGTCTTGCCCTCTCAGCTCCATTTTAATTCTCTTCCTTAAAAGAGACTAAAACCCTTTGATCTCTTCAACTTTCTCTTTCCTCTATTTTAATCTCTTCTTAGATCATCATCATCATCATAACCTTGAAGAGTCTCTCTTTTCTGATTCTGAACCCAAAGCTAATCTTAAGAACAAACAACAATCAATCACATAATCAACTGGGTAATCTAGGATTTTTAATATGTGCTCTCTTTTTTCTTTTGATTTGGACTTGCGGATGCCAATGATAAACCCACCAAACCCTAATTAGATAATGAAAAAAGATTTCAATTTCTCAAACCTGAAGAGGGGTAAACATATATATTATTTTTTAAAACAAAGTTTAAGGAGGAAAAAGAAAAAAAAAGATTCTTGGAACTCGAAACTCAGACTCAATGGGTCCCTCAATGGTTAATCAAAACTATTGTTCAACAGTAGGTTAAGACATTAGAATTGCGCTGCACCATTAACATCATACAATTCTTAATAACTACATTAATACATACATGTATATATATATATATATGTGTGTAGGTATTATATTAGCAAAAGGAAGAGAGAGAGAGAGAGAGAGAGAGAGAGGAGAACTGGGGTTGTGTTTCCTAACAGCAATCCAACCCCATAAAACCCATCCATCAGAGGAAACAAATGGGTTTGGTTTTGTGGGTACTTTCTCTCTTTTCTCTCTATCAAAGTGATGAGTATTGATTCAGAAGAGACTGATGACACTTAAAGAGTCACACTGCAAAACAACCGACAAGGTCATGTTCGTCCTCTCCCAAGGCCTGCACACTGGTCCACTCTCTCATTATTGCCCCTCCCTTCTCTATTTGTTTCACTCCCACACCTCAAAACCCTAAAACAACCTTTATACTCCCAAATAAGAGAGAGTGAGAGTGAGAGTGAGAGTGAGAGAGTGAGATTGATGATGATGATAGTGATGGGACGTTGCCTGGAATCTTCCTGCAACCTTAAAATCCTTTGTTACGAGCAATGTTAAAATGGGTAAATCAACCATAAAACGCAGTTAGAAAGGTCGAAAGATGGTTTAGGAAAAGAAAATGTTGAGAGAGGAGAGAGATAGGGAGGACTTTTTTTTTTTTTTTCTTGTGCGAAGAATTAAGGTGAAAATGAGGGGCCACAGCACGGCAATGGGTCCTGTTAGTGCGGAAATTATTTGAATAATTTTGAAGTGTTATATCATATTATTTAAGTATAGTGTTTAGGATTAATCAGGAATTTGTACAAGGGTTTCAGATTATTATCATGTTCTGAGTTTATGGCATTATGAGACTTTGAATGATTTAAAATTTGAAGTACATTAGAATATTATAACAGGAAATTTAGAAATAGAAGAGCTTAATTTTTGTAGAACTGTCAATTTTTGTCTTTTAAAGTTTTTTCATCACACCATTAGTTGATTGAGAGCAGTACAAAACGTGAATAATGTCAAATAAACAAAGCTACAACTCACCCACAAAAATTTGTTTAGAATTTGCCCGGAAAGAAAGTTGAGATTTGAGTAGTGAAAGAAATGAAATAAAACAGGATTAAAATTCATAATGAAATTTGAGATAACTGATGAATAATTACTTTGTAGTGGTGTGTGTGTGTCAGATTTATGTCTTTTTCTATCTCTGGGTTTCTCCAAAGGGTTGTCGTGTGGTGCGGGGGTGAGCGTGGAGCAGTGGCCTGCAAGTCTTCCACTCTTTAGCTTTGGAATCAGATATCAGAACAGAAGAGATCAGCCTTTTACAAAGGAGTGTGCCAGTGCAATCTGCATTGGATGCTGTTTGGCTACCATTGTTGGCCAAATTGGCATCCCTGCCCCTTTTTTTTTCAAATATTTATTATTATTATTATTATGTAGAGTATTTCCGGCAGTTTATACGCATCAAATTAAGTCTTTACAGTTTGAATAAATTTTTTGAGACAAAGCTTACATCTTGCAGTCTAAAACCCCAAGATATATGTTTGCTGATTAGGAAATTCGAACCTAAAATTTAAAAAGAAGCAAATCTATAAGTTTCAGTCGTCACCCACTAAACCAATCACCCTATTATTTCACTCCCTCTCTTACAGATATGAGAAATATGAATATTATCAAATATTTATAATAATTAAATGTTTCTGTGCTTTGGTATTCGTTTGCTTTGGGGTACAGTGTTGCAATAATACTTCCCCTATATTCAATACACACTATTATTATTCATGTGATGACAATTTATGTTTTAGCAATATTAGAAATTTTAAAAAAATTACTCAAAAACTAATAATAATAAGTATATGATCATTGTAGGTATAATTTGTATTGTAATAATTTTAAATCTATACTATATATTAATTTCAAAATAAGATTCAAGATACATGTTTTTAGCGCCTGCATTTATTTTTGTTTATGTTTAGCACCCCAGCAAGTTTGGGATTCTCTATTTAAACATTGGAATCCTCTATTCTTCCATTTTTTTTAAGGGTAAATTACACTAACTTTCTTTGAGGTTTGGAGAAAATATAACAAATTTCAAAATTTTAACATAATTATATCAAATTTCTTAAAATTTTTAGTTTACATAACAATTAATCTATTTTTCTTTAATAATTTGTTAGTTATATGAATGAAAAAAATTTATATTTTTATCTTACACTAACGTATATTTTTCCTTATGTATAGTTGTATTTTTACACGATTTGTATTAGTTACATCTCTTTAGCCTTATTAAAATGAAAATTAGTATAATTATGTTAAAATTATGGGACTTACTCTATTTTCTTTACACTTTAAGCGTCAGTAAATATATCCCTTTTTTTAATTAACTAATTTATTTTTACAAGTAGCAGAATTAAAAATTGAAAATAAAAAATTACATAGTGCAACAGTGAAATTCAAATTTAGATAACACATATAAGCTGATAGGAACACATCATTTATTAGGTCAATTATTCTCCTTCGATCTTTTCATTGCTTCTTAGATCAAATCACTTTATCGCAAGGATACAATGAGTATAATTTTGGTTAGTCTAGCCCTTTTTAGGGTTTAAAGAGAAGTCTCAATATAAAGCTTTTAAATATTAATTTTAAATTTCTCCATGGTAATTTTTTGTTTATAATTTTTTTTACTTACATGAATTTTTTTTTTTAGGTCAAATATTAAATTTAAATAATTTCATTTTTTTTTTACTATTCGCTACATATGTCAATTTAGGTTTTCTTTTACTCTTAACATTTTCATTTATAGTGATAATATAACTAATATACTTAATTTTTTTGGTGACCATAAATTTATATTAGACTCTATGAATGTTAATTTTAAAAAACCTATTTTTAAATTTAATGATTTAAAAAATTCTAGATTTTGATATATATATATATATATATTGTACATAAATTTGAGCTTTTTTAAATTATCTTTTAATAAATATGTCAAAAAATTTACAATAGAAAACAAATGTGAAACTTCAATAACAGAAAAATGCCAATTCAGTTAAAAAAAAAAAAAAATGGTTCTCTTGCCCTTGACATACAAGGTCAAGGAATGTGTTATTCTAATTAACAAGTCCAAGGTGAAGCCAATTTGGCGTTCAAAAAAAAAAAAGAAAAGGGGTAAGCCAATTTCAGTAACTCTGGCTCCAAGAGATTTTTAGATATTACTAATTTTACAGCCTAAAAATCCTTCTTTTCACACAATAAGTAGTCCCATTTTGTGATGTGAATTCAATCATTGACGTAAATTAAATAATGTTCTTAAAATAAAAAAGATTGATGTTAAAAAAACAACGGCCAAGTTATGATCCTTTAAAGTAAAATGTTATACAAACAATTTTTGTTTTATTTTTATAAATTTATGTGGCATATAGTAACAAAGTCTTGGAATATAAGATGAGGCCGACTGAAATGAATGACAACAATTGTAAAGTAAGTTTATTCCAAGCAAAAAAATAAAAATTTGTTTGTATGGTATTATTTTTCTTTAATATATATATATATATATATTTAATTTTTTGTTAAGAATACTGTATTTACTCAATGCTAAACAATTGTACATTGCTGATTTAATGAAACCACTACAAGAAATTAAGTATTTAGAGATGAAATCCCTTTTCGAGACAAAATAATTAGTTGCTAAATGTGTCATTGTTGTATTTTCAATAACGAAATTGGATATTTAGTGATGAATTTCTATCCTACTGAAACCAAAATTTTCATTAAATTTTTTTGGTATGAAATTATTTTATCCTTAAAAGTGTATTTATTAGTAACATTTTCAAAATTTCTTCACTAAAATGTTAAAAAGTATTTTTTGACTTTTTGAGACAGTTTTTCAGTGATGAATTTCTTGATTACAGAAATTAGTCTCTTAATATTTTTGGTAACAAAATTTTTACTTTTGGAAATAAAAAATTTAGCCCTTAAAACTCTTGTATATTGTAGTGAACTCACCATTACTAGATTGTAGATAAAATTATAATTAGTTGGGTTCATAAAATGTAGTAGGGAATGTATCTCTATAGCAAGGTTGTCTGTTGTAGTGAATGGCTCACCAACGGAGGAGTTTTCACCACAGAAAGGTTTCAGACAATATGACTCTCTATTTCCTTTCCTCTTCAACATAGTGGTTGAATGTCTGAATATTTTAATGAACAAAGCTTATGAGAAAGACATTATCAAGGGGGTAAAAGTTGAGGTAAATGAGGTAGTGATATCCCATCTCTAATTTGCTGATGACTCCATAATATTTGTGAGGCTGATATGGATCAAATAGTGCACACAAAAAGGATCCTAAGATGCTTTGAAATTTTGTCTGGAATGAGAATCTATTTCTACAAGAGTGTTGTGTGTGGAGTTGGTGTGGATGAGGGAACTTTGGTTTCTTTCACAGATATTCTGAATTGCAAGGATTATGGCTTGTCACTCAATTTTTTGGGTCTTCCCGTAGGTGTTAATCTAGGAAGGAAATCAACTTGGAAGCCAGTTTTGGATAAAGTAAGGTCTAGGTTGGCTGGGTGAAAGAAAACGCTCATTTGCTTTGCAAGTAGATTAACTTTGATTAAGTCTGTATTATCTAACCTTCCTATTTATTATCTCTCTTTGTTCAGAATGCCTACTAGAGTGGTTTGAGAGATTGAAAGGCTTGAAGCTTCTTTCCCATGGGGTGGGAACGGTTTAAAGACGAAGGTTTATATGGTGAAATGGGCTGAAGTATCAAAAAACATGAATCAAGGTGGTCTGGGGATTAAGAGAATTAAGGATGTCAATGCAAGCTTACTTTTTAAATGGTGGTGGAAATTTGGATGTAAAGTAAATGCTCTATGGAGAAGATTGTTGTGCAGCAAGTACATGATTAAGGAGGTCAATTGGCTCCCACCTGAGAACACTTCATCTAGACATTCTAGAATCTGGAGTGATGTTCTTGCTATTGTAAGTCATAATCAACCTCTTGTGGAGTTCTTTTTGGTGCAGTATCAGATAAAGGTTGGAAATGGGTGCAGAATCAAGTTTTGATATGATAAGTGGGTTAGAAATAGATGCCTTAAAGATGAGTTCCTTAGAAACTTTAGTTTATCAAATGACAAGGAGGGCATACTGTCTTATTTTTCTGAGAGGAAATCCAGTTTGGAGGAGTGAAACTTATCTTTCAGAAGGAATTTGAATGATTGGGAAAAGGCGGAGGTCACTAGTTTGGCTGCTGCTTTGAGGGAGGCCTCTTCTCTAAGTCTTGATGTAGAAGACTGTCATGTTTGGAATGGTTCTAATGATGACAGCTTTAAGGTATCTGATATCTATAGGTTTAGTGCTTCTCTTATGGGCCCTCGTCTCAAAATTAGTAAGTTTGTGCGGAATATAATTGTA